AACTTTAGCACACCACATTGTCCCTGTCCATCTAAAGTACCTCCTTGCTACTAGTTCTCCATCTTTATCTTTCTCTTGAGGTAGAAACGATATATAATAGTATGAAAAATTGTATTTTAAAGGTAATTGATTGAGAGGGGGAGGAATCTAGATAATTAAAAGAATTTTTTTTAATTAGTAATCATATTTGAATATATATTGTTAAAGTGAAAAATGAACTATATAAATTATGAGAAAAATAAAAGTAAAATGAAGTAGAATATAAAAAGTAATATGATTATTTTTTTTTTTATTTCTTGATAATGGTTTTAATAATTGCGGATCTAAATAATTGAAAAATGAAAGATATGCAAAAGATATCTAGTATTTCTAATATATTCTAGTATCTTTAAATATCTAGCAGATATAACAAGTAATTATCAAGTATAATATAGACAACAAGTATAGAGCTGGATAATAAGTCCAAAGCTAGCTAAATTATATCAGGCATAAAAAAGTATAAAAATAAGATAACGATATAAAAATATGGAATCAAGGAGGATAGGCATGGCACACTAAAAAGGCTATCTATCTTGAGAGTGTCACTAAACAAAGAAGTGACCACGCAGGAGGTTGGCAGTTACGACGCACGATCGATGGATTGACCGGTGTCATTGTTAAATTCGAGCCAAATATACATGTCTCTTTTAAGAAGAAACCATTCTCAAACATAGTATGGCATAGACAGAACAGAAGCGACAGACTCGCCGTATTTCACCATAACAGTATATACAAAGTTTCAATGATGATTAATAAAAAAAAAATTTTTTTTTACTTACCATAAAAAATTCCGTATATTTATCATGCCTACTGTATATACTTGATATATCTTTTATTTAATATCTATTTGTAACAAATATATGTATAATTATTTAATTAAATTATTATTTTATAGACTTATAAATGCGATTAACATTATTTAGTCAATTTTTTATATATGAAAATAAATATCTTTCTTAACCATAGCTAAATATAAACGAAACAATTATAATAATTATATGAAGCATAAAAATATATTTGTTATAAAATATAAAATGTAAACGAATATATTATTAATTAGGATTTAATAAGTATTTTTTTTAGGACATTTAATTAATAAAGAAATTTCAATTAATATAAGTCTATCTCAAGTGGCTATATAACATAATCAGAACATATACAGTATATATAAATTAATGTAAAATTTACAAAGAATCTATATTATTCAACATTTATTAAATTTACATGTCTTGAAATATACTGTATATGTTATAACTTGAAATGCGAGAGCCAAATAAACACTACTGATTCATCGTATTTCACTGTATAATAAAATTTGATGATTGATTACTGCATTGAATTTTTTTTAATTGGTACTGGATTCTTGTTGGAAAATCTGTTGTTTCTTGAAACCAACATTTATGTAATATCAAGATGGTGTTTTTATGGAAAAAGTATAATTTAATTAGTCGAAACCAATTTTGAAGCTAAGATTGATGGATGCAGAAATTCAAGGGATTGGTGAAAGAGAATAAAGCTGCTATTAAAAGTACGATGAAGCCATTAAAATATTTTTTTAATACGAAGACAAAAATCAATGTTAATTAATTAATTTTATTTTATAAAAATAGCAAAGTCATGGAACCTATTTGTTAAAAGAATTATTTGTCGATGTATTTCAATATAGTACAGTGTCGGAAATATTGCCCTGGTCAAACCGCGGCGATCAAAGTCACATAGAGCTCAAACATGATGCCGACTCCAAATAAATATGATTCGTCTTACTCACCGCCATTGCCCTAAAGTATGGTTCTCTACATGGCTACAATGCAGCCATCCGAAATTCTATTAGTTATTTGAGTTTAGCAAGTTATAATCTTGATCTCAATGTAATGTGCGGATGACTTCATATATTTCGAGTCCCTTTACATGACATTTCTGCCGAAGTCAATATTGACGAGAATCCAAAAGTGGTAGAGATTATCTTGGAAAAAGATGTTGCTTATTTAGAAAAAGATTTCATATTGATTGTTAAAAGTCAAGATCTTAATTTGCCAAGGTATTACTCGTGCAAGGAGTTACTTCTTTTAAGACACTATGAAACTTAACAATGCACCGTTTTTATAGGGCAATTGTTTAATATAACTCAACAACTACAGTAAAACCAATTGCATTATGCCTACTTTGGTGCCCAAGTTATGTTTAACGAAACATTGGTAGAATTAATGTTTATTATAGTGAGACTGCCTTTACAACGCGACCTAATTTACTTACAATAAAAGGTTTACGTAATAATAATTAAGAACAGTCAATAACAGGCAAGCCCATTTTAAAAAGCATCAAGACTCTTCAATTTTTACTTTATCTCAACCACTTTTCATTACGATTCATTGTTCCCACAAAGTCAACCTATCCGAGGTCACCCTTACTCAGGCTTTGATGAGCGCAAATTATGGTATTGTTAGCCTGGTAAAAGTCACGGGGTATAGTCGCGTACCGTGATCATCGTGTCGCGTACCCTGGAAATTTAGGATAGCATTAGTAATTAACATAGAAAAATGTAGTCATAGAGGCTTATATAACTTACCCATAGTTTATTTTAGCCCCGATAATCTAGCCTCATCAATTTATGCATCAATAGTATAGCTGTGGGATTAATAATTAATAAGCGGGTGAGTAAATAAATAGCAGTAGTGCAAAAGAACGAGAGGGTACGCAAAAAGTAAATTAAAAAAAGAAAGGATTAAAAAGAGAAGCGCTAGCTACTTTGAGTTGCCATAAAGAGAAAGTAATAATTAACAACCTACCTTTTTGAGTACGCACCGTTTTAAGAAGGATAACCGCCGCTAGAAGGACATAGCCTGGGGTATCAAGAAGGAAACGAGTGCCGGGAAAGAAAAGAAGTGAAGTTAATTAGTACTGCCCGGCCAAGTCAATCACACACGCCTCAACCTACCTTTGGTGACGCAAACCTGAGACCGGTGAAGCGACTGACTCGCCGTTTTCCGGCCCAACAGTATAAGATTCAATAAAATAAGCATTCGATAATTACATATTTGATTGCAAACATCTATATTCCTTCTTACTGACGGCGAAGTTTGGGACGTTGAGACGTTAATTGAGCTTATTCGCACTAATGTGATTAGTTATAGATTATTTTCTATTGGAATTAAGCCTAATTAAGAATTCGATCAAGCCTCATGTTAAGGATTACAATATTAAAAAATGAACATTTATACAAGGGTCTTGATAAAGAAGCCAAGTTAAACCAAAAATCAATATCATTTTGGCGTTAGAGTTATTGTATATTGTATGCTTGCAAAGGGTGTTGGCCCAAATAAGAATATTGGTTTAACCGCACAATCTCTGAACGAACCTATGAAACTGGAAATTACTTTAGATGCAGTGATGTTGCAAGGGTCGAAAATATATATTGTTGTGAGCTAAGTCGGCGCCAACTCTCGTACTTCTTGCGTCACAGTATCAGTAGTGAGGTAAGTGTTAATAAATTAAGCTCAAAGGCTGTAACTTTGAGGCGTGTTATTCTTGGCCGATTCTTCTCTGCCGCTCACAAACTTTCGCCCTTAGACTAATACTTGAACCCTGCTTAATTGCTAGGACTTTCCCTCTTCTAGACAAATCCGATTCCCTTTAGTCACGTGGATAAGTACAGAATCGGAGGCAACAATCAACACGAGTAAGAGTTTATACTTTTAAATGGTTTCTTTATTGAAATTCCAAAAACGATTTTCACTCGCATATATTTTTTTCATGAGGTTTTATCTATATATGGTATCATTTGTTTACTTATTTACTTGTTTGCATGATATTCTCTTGCTCCGTTTGCTTACATAATCCAATTTATCCAAACTTTCCCCCATTACTCTCGTGCTTATGCTTTTTCGTGACGCGATGATGCGTTCCATTACGGTACCCTAAATTAGTTCACGATAATAGAGGTTTATTCAGTCAATTCCAGTTTTAGATGTAGAGGACAAAATTGTTTATTTGGGGAAAACATTTAATTTAACATCTAATTAAACGAGGTGACCACCCATCAATTAACTTTGTGTTTCTATAACCCATTGAAGCTTTATTACTTAGTTTCGACAATGCAACATATACTCAGTTTCTTTACAATTGATGAAAGAGGTAGCAAACCTGTTGGACAATCGTTCCATTCCGAGAAGAAAAAAAATACCTATGCCTATGTCTAAACCTATGCGTAAGCAAGCAATAACATCAAACATAACCATATGTGACAGGCTATCGGCGAGTCCGTCGCTAACCGGGAGCAGAATTCGCGTAACCGTCACTTTAGTTTAACAATTAAAACTCAAAAGAGGCGGATTTGACTTGACCAAATTCCCGTCTTTATTCAGTATTTTTTTATCCTTTTTATACATGATTTAAATACCTATATGGAGGCTTTTAAAGAGTAAAAAGAAAAGGATCGAAATATATAGAACATTTTAAGGCTTAAAGGTAGGTTATTCATATTATGTCTTCCTATTGTTCGTTATTAATCAATCACTATTATACAGGTTGATGTTTCGCGATAATCCAGTTAAAATCGATTACGAGACTATCGTCGCGTCTTTGACTGTTTAATTTTACCTCCTACACCATAATAAATTCCATTGAAAGTACGTGAAATATGCCTTATGTATTACCGTTACCGATAAATAGACGATATCTTAATCGATTTGAATTATGTTAGCTGTTTCTTTAATAGCTTAAAGGGCTTTTCATACATCTTCATTGCATTCTATTCCATAGTGAAAAGAAACAGATAATGAATCAAAAAATCAAGGAATCAAGGATCACAAACCCAATTTTAAAAGAGATAAAAATCCAAGTGCCGTATTGTATAGGTTTCTTAAATTTTAGTCGTTTGACGTAAATTCAATCCTACTGCACATTTATAAATTTATAACTGCACTAGCAATTTTATATTTGGAGGTTTTGATGTTTGAGCAATTTAAGGATGAGTGTGAAATGTGTTGGGAAAAAACTATGAAAATTAGTTGAAGTTTTGAAGAATGTTAGAGATCGGTTTTTAAGGGAGTATAAACACATCGAAATTACGTATGCAGTGTGCAATACTGTATTACAGTATTTGCTAAACTACACATATCCTGTGAGATGGTGTTTATATATAAATTCTTTTGACTATTATTGTGAAATGACAAAAAGGTTGGGTGATATAAGGCTTGTTCTTTTGGGTTAATTGCCAAAAGTTTGATGTCATTGCTTTAGGAATACTGTAGCTATTGAATGTACTTTTTGTCAAAAAATGATACAGTATAATTTTTTATTGGTACTGTAAATCATGATTCGTGTAACGGAGAAAATTTTTTTTCTATAACGTCTGTCATAATTGTTAAAGTATATTTAATCATTTTTATTGCATTTTTTGCACTATATCAAATTTTCAATAATTCATATATGTAATTACATTTAAAATTTACACATATTCTCATTGTAGTATTGTTTAAACAAGGTCAGGCTATAAAAAAGTTTACTCGAATTGGATAGAATCGAAGCAAAAAAAAAGTCGCTTTTATTTTCCCCATTTTCACAATATTTAACGAACCAAAAATAAGAATTAATGGTCATTATATATACTGTATATAACCCGAAAATTTTAAAAACTACTGTAATACTACATAAATTCGAAGTCAGAATACAGGAAAACTGTGTTATTTAGAAATAAAAATTCTCTGAAATTACTCTCATAATAAAAATGCTAGAAAATTTGTTTAAAAAATACCAATTGTTTTAATTACATGATGATAATGTATAAAGACCTGTTTGATTATGCACAATTTTTATGACTCTAATTACGAAAATATGTGCTCATGCCTGCCATCAATGTAACCAATTCCTCTGTCTCCAAACATTCCGAACACATTTGATAGGCGCATTGATGACATCTCAAACGTCTTCCATAGAAGCTCCTCTTACATTCATTACACAACCAAGCTCCTTTTGGATACTGCATGTAAATAAGAGGATGACTGTTTCTACAGTAACTCTTGGGAGTACATTTACGTCCGGACTCGCAGTGACTCGAACAAGCATCGAAGTTACAAATATTACAATGGTTTTGAGATATCTGACGCCAGAAAAGAAAGTTGGTATCACAAAAGAAATACATAATCTAGGTATTAAAAATTAGAATAAAATAATATCTTACCGTTGTTTCACCGTCCTCTCCACATATATCACACCACCAGTCTCCTCCGTGACGTTCCTCTTCCAGGTCATGTCCCGCAAAACATTTGGGCGGTGGTGGCGGTGTATTAACATTCATGGATCCTGACACGTCGATCAAAAGAGCATAATCAATCGCTACTCTACTAAGCTCCCTGTTTCTTTGAACCTCTGTCCATGTCGCAGAAATATTACCGACGGAAAGTTCACTGACCGAAAGAGATAGGGAAGTAGAGACTTGATAGGCGAGGGTTAAAAATGCGTATTCGAGAAGGGAAAAATATTTGACAGGAATATATATAAAATTGCCTTTGCTAGCCATCTAATTTTATATTAAAAAAGGTCATTTTGTTGTACATATGCGCGCTCGCTTTTTAAACTATTATCTCCTACCTCCTGCATTCTTGTTGAATCAACACTTTCTCCAACCCCGAGGACGAACAAAAAGTTACTAGATTCCCTGGTAAAAAGCTGTGATACTTCATTAGCGGCTCTCTCAAGACTCATATAGCTAGAATTATCATCTCCATCAGTCACGACAACCAAAATCCAGGGACGAGTGCGATCACCATCGCGACGGAAAGTCCTCACAATGTCGACCATACTGTCGTAAAGGCGAGTGCCACCATCAGGAATATCTATTAGCCTGTTGAGAGAACGATGAATCACCATCTCATCTCCCGTGAAGCTCTTCAAATAAATTTCACATATATTAGTAGGAAGATTAAGCAAGGCAACAGAAGTACGGCGCAACCAAAAAAAAAAAATTACTTCTTACCTGCCTAATTACCATTGTATTATTAAATGACGCAACGCACCCACGATCTAACTCATCACGATGCAAATTCTTCACAAATTCATTGCAAGCCTTAATTGCACAACCGATTCTGGTTTCCATTTTGCTCAAATATGATTGAAAAATATTAAGGAAAGTAACGGTTAACGGGCATGAATATTTCCGATAACCTAATTTAATTGAGTAATTAAATTAGGAGTTAGAATTCAATATTGACGAATTTTGTTTTGCACAACTTCCACGTACCAATGGTCTTTTATATAATTTTGAATCGTGTTCTACGAAAGAATTATTACATTATTGTATAACCGCGCGTGACTCATATCACGATAAAGTGTTTTGATCTCCATAACGCGCATATAATAAAATCATGCAATCCTGCAGGATTTTAAACATGTAATACGTATTTCTGTACATGTGTAACACGGTTTTGTAGGCAAAAATCACCAGAGAATTACCGAATTGGATATAAATACCACAACAACAGAGTTAAACGTTAGTCTTGGTTGGATAGCAGAGTCGACAGAAAAAGAACTGTCGAGGGAAACAAAGGAATGTCTTAAATACCATACCCAAAGATTTACTGTTTTCTAACATATTTATTTGGACACCAAAGGTTTAAATTAGTAAGTGTGAATGCGGTCAATACGTTTATCATCAAAATTCAATACATATCCACATGATATGAAATCCCAATACATTTAATGAGCCAAACAGTAAATACTATAATAAATATAAAGATAGTTTTATTTATTGATAAATTCCTAACATTGCTATTTTATTCTTTATGCTATCCTTAACATAAACTCCTATACTGATATTTAATGTGTTTATCAATAGCATTAAATCACGGCCTATAAATTGACCAGTAAACTGTTTAGCTACGTATAATTCAATCAGTTGGTAATCAAAAATTATAAAAAATACATATGGCATTCTTTTCTTGCTAGAAGATGTAAGATTTAATCAAATATGAATGAAAGTTTTTTTCTATTATTTCGTTCTCAATTTTGAATTTGATTTTTTTAACGATCTTATGAAACAATAAGTAATCATCAAAATGAACTTATTAGTTATTATCATATAATCTTATCCAAAAGTTTTTGAACAAGTATTTTTTATAATAAAAAACAGTTGATCATTTAATTCTTATAAAATCTTAAAATATAGGTTTTTTTTTTATAATCAAAAAATAAAATATTTAAATTAAAAAATTGGATTAAAAATTTTGTTATTGATTTTAATATACTGTATAAAGTTATGTATAAAATATAAATGAACAAAATAGTTATGAAATTATAAAACTATTAGATTGATAAAAAATTTTAATTAAATTTTAAAAACTTGTTTATTCTTGATTATTTTTTGCTAAAAAAATTTTTTATAGCAAAACTTTTAAACAAACTTTTTTTTCTCTTTTCAAGTATCTTTAGACATACTTTTCAAATTCACTATTTCCATTATAAATTCTATAATTTTCTTAACAAAAAAATTTAATTTTTTCTCTTTCCTTTTCAAATTCACGACTTTTATTATAAAGCTCATAATTTTCTAACAAATCAAATACAAATTCGTTATATACAGTAATTGAAACAAAAAATTATAAATCTTTGATTTAAAAATAAAACTATTCACCAAATAAATTTCATTGTAATTATTATTATTAACTACTTTAATTGATTTTTTTCTTTAAAAAAAATAGTAATAAAAAAATATTCTTAATATAAAGTTATTTATAATTAAAATAAAGAATCAAAATTTAATAATCAAAATGTTTAATTTCGATTTTATTAGTAATATAGTCAATAAAATAAAAAATATTTAATTCAATTAATATTACAGTATTATAAATATTTTTAAGAATTTCTTTGTTATTTTGAAAAAAAACATCAAAATTTTTTTAAAAAAATAACAAAATTTTATACGGTTCAATTGTTTACTTTGTCAATTGTATTAATTCTTTCAAAAATAAAGTAATAATTAATAAATCAATAAAATTATCTGATTTAAACTTTATAAATTTTAAATAAATTAATTAAAAAAATATTATTTCAATTTTTTTTTTAACGATTCTATAACAATATTTAACCTTAATATAAAATTACAAATTTTAATTTACTAACCAATCAAATAACAATTAAATTTTTTTAAAAATCAAACTTTATTATATATAATATATTGTTATTAATATATACTAGGTCTAAAGATGGGTTCCTAAATTAAAGGCGAGGACATAATTCAAATGTCCCTTACTATTAAAAAAGTTTTTTTTTAAATA